TTTAATATATCTAAATTTATTTCATTCGGTAGAGTAGCAAATCAAATAGCCACTACAACGCTATAAAAGACAGTGTATTTTAGGACTGTGGCCTATTCGTCATATATCTAACGTGTTTTATTAATTATTAGTTATTTAAAAAATCAGTTGTTAGTTATTTAGAAAATCGATATTACATTTTCGTTTTATTCTGCGAGTTTATTAAGGGTGGAGAATTTATTGTAATTTTATGAAATGGTAGGTTAGTAATTTAAATTAGTATAATTTTTTTCTGTCATAATCTTTTGATTTATTTATTTATTCAGTATAAATTTGAGATTTTGAGAAAATATTGGTTATTTGAATAAATTATTTCATATCAATTGTTTTAATTTAGTCGTAAAACAACTGCAGTAAGTTTATGTGCAAAATGAGATGTATTGTGATTCAAATCATCAATAACGATCAAATAAAATACAATGGAAGCTGGAAGATAAATGTAACAAAGGTTGTTTTATCAGTATCTTGGAGCAGTTTATGTAATTGTAGGTTGATGTTTATCAATAGTATACTTCCTTAAGGGTATGTTTTGAACTATGTGCATTTCTAAGTTGGGTTTTTGCCAGTACAGTCATCATTTGCATACATATTAAACATTTGAAGTGTATTTAAATTAAAAGTCTATATTAATAATTATTTTTATAAATTTATAGTACAAATTGATAATTATATTAAAATACAGTTTTTTTTATTTTAATTTCCCTTATAATAATGGAGTTTACATAGGTTTGTTCGCAGGGTTGCGATTATGTAGCGTGTAGCAGTTATTAATGGAAATAAATATACCTATAGGTATATTATATAATTATATATTATACATATTATTTAAATGTTAGAGTATTCTCTAATATTCTCATGGGATTCAAATTTAACCATTTAAAGATTAACTCATTTACTCAGGATACTAGATATAACTAATATTAGGGATTTGGCTGCGATAATGCCAATAGTGATTATTACAAAACTACTGGTAAAGAGATTACTTTATAGACGTTTCCGGCAGCTTTAGTTTAGAGTAATCGTTAGCAAGTTTGGTGGCCACAACCTTACTTGTTTAATTATGACGATCACGTACCAACGTTAATTTTACCTAACGTGCGAATGTCTTAACACGGGAAAACTTATTATAGTTGAGTGTAGACTTAAATAGTAAACTGTAAATACGAATTCAGACTACCAAATTGGTGTAAAACTCTTTTCTGTACACTAGCAGTAGGAGGTAACGCAGTAAATTCACAAAAAGCAATCTTATTTAATTAAGAATAAAAAACTTTCTATATTGGTTTATTTTTTGTGTGTAAAAATTTAATTAGCTTTAAACTACCAATAAAAAATGATTTTGCACTATTTATAAAAAGTTTGTATACATATGTATTTAATGATAAAATATTGTTAAATATTAAAAATCGTGAAAGTTATTTTCAAAATAAAAACTTTGTTACTTGTAATTTATTCTTAGGTATAACTAATTATAATTAGTTTTAGGAGTATCAATGATTACTGACACTTCTAAATTAGCGGTTTAAAATTTCAATTTAATTAGAAAACTTATTATTTTGTAATTATACTTTTTAAATAAGCAACTTGCCTGTGGTTAGTAACTAATAATTTTTTGTATAAACGTCGACAATGGTGCCTATAAAAGTACACAAACATGCCATGAAATGGTATTTTCTTTTTGGTTAGGAAAGTAAAATAAAAATAATCACGATTTTAACGGCTGTTTTAGACAAACATGTACGAAAATCGCGCTATTTTTGATAACAAAAATCGTTGACAATATTTCAAAGGATTGTTGGAATTTTAGTTTTGAAGTTATAAATGATGGAGTATTTATATATTTCAGTGAATAGTTCATTCGTTATAGAAGTCACTATTGCAATGTCTAGCCTTTCTTTGCAAACTGCCTTCTTGCAAATTGATTTAAGGCGCCGGTGACACGCCGACAGCCCGTACAGTTGCCTGTCTGTTAACCAAACTTTTCCATGTGATAAATAGTAGTGCTATTAATTAATATCGGCCGTAACTTCATAAGCTTTGCACCGTTCATTGCCAAGTTGATATTATTGCGCTGAGTTATTGCAGTTATGTGTTAAAGCTGTCTGTCAAAGTTTTAGATAAGTAATATATTTGCTCATTTTTTTTTTATATGTTGACGGTGTAATAAACATCGATATCAAAATTGTTAAATACACGTTTATGTACATGTGAACAGCCATATCATGACTGGTTAACGAATGAACATAAAACGCGATAACCGAAAATGTTTGAACGTTTAAATTATCCTCGACGTAGAAATGACAGGCGCTTTATGTTTTTATTGGCGATGTGGCACATTATTTTCTCGTTTAAAAATTAAATATTCTTGCGTTACAACGAAAAAAGCGTTATTTTTTCCTTTACTGGGAAACGGTTAACTAATTTACATCAAAACTTTAGTTCTCTACATAAGAATGATTTCGTGTTTTTTGTGATTTAATTAACCAAAAGCGTTTATATATCTGTCTGAGCGTGCAAATAATATGCGTGTAGACCCGTTTATAGTGTTTTAAAAGTTAAAAATTAGTATTCTGTGTTTTGTCAGGTTTTTTAAATAGACGAAAATCAATAAACTTTGCCAATTTCAAATAGTTTTTCAATACATATATCTATGTGCATCTTAATCTACAATTTTCGTTCACATTATCCTAATGTTAATTAATGCGTCTTTTCATAAAAAAAAAATAGTTTTTCTTAAAATATCTGTTTATAATCGGCATCGAAATGAACGATGATAATATACATTATATATATATATATGTGTGCTATTATAATAGAAGCCTTTAATTTGAGTGAATGTCGTGCATTTTTGTCTCCATCTCTCACTTATATATGTTTTTCAATCGATTGAAATTTTTCATGGCGTTTTCATATTGTTTTTCAAATGTATTCGTAGCTATAGGCGTTTGAGAGATTTGGAATGAGCTATAATCGCCATATATACCACCGATTACATTATATGCTCAACTGATATGTGGTTTAATATATTAGGTTATTAAGTAGTTTATATACTACTGTAACATGTACTTTATTTAACGTTTAATTTAATACTATTAACGAAAAGCCATGCAAGTGCCTTAGATGACATCCAGAAAAGCTTTCAGTCGTTTTGAAAATGTATACAACCGAAAGTATCCTTAATGCTTCATAACATAACGCTAAAAAAATTTAACTTTTTTTGTAGGAATATATTGTGTTTTTATTCAGTGTATCTTACTTGCTGATAAAATTGGTATTATTTTGAAATCTTTATAATGGCTATGTTTTATCGCTTTAACTGTTCACCAAACGTTGACACCGATAAAGAGTACTTGTGTTCATATAAAAAAGTTATTGGCAAAGTTATAGCTAAATAAGAATAGGGATGACATATCTAGATACATATCTTCGTCAACACAAAAGAATGAGTGAGATTTCTATATTTATTATAACGCGGAGATAAAAATAAGTTGTCTTTGGCCAAATCTGATTAGGTTTAGATAAAACTTTATTTGTGAAAGGAAATAATGAAAATATGCTAAATAAAATTGACTGTTAAGCTCTTGTTGATTTATTTCTATCATTTTAAGAATAAAACATACTTGTGCTGCCAACGAGGCGAAATTTCTTATTTATTAATATAATTGCTCTGTGGTACTAACGACGGGCCGTAGTAAGCATTACATCGTTCGTCCTACACTTCAAAAGAATTATTTTATTTTTAGATTTGTACCTATGAAGTGTGATTTTTCTTTTTCGGATAAACGCCAAATTTACTATGTATATGGTACCATGCGGGGGCAGGCAAATAATCGGTATCCGATTTTATTTAAAATCTTTTGCAAAGGCAAACGACCGGACTGAGAGCGTTTAGATATTTTATTGGAAGAAACGAGTAATCGAACAACGAGCATCGTTTGAAATATTTGATGTAATATAGTCTGATCAAAGAAGTACTTATGCAAAATGACAAGACTAAATTTGTTTTCGAACCAGCTGGCTCAAGTCACACGAAAAGCTAAGCTGAAATCGAATACCCTTACAGTTATTAAATAATCTCTTGTGTCTATAATATATGTATTGAAGTGACTTTTTTTAGGTCGTAAGAAAATGAATTTCTTAAGGTAGAGAAATTTTTATATCTTTTGAAATACGCGAATGTTTAATCAAGCAAAACATTGCTTTTGAAATAAGCAAAAGGGGTTATATTGTATTATTTTTACATGTATAATGCCGTTTTGGTGAAATAGTAATCTAGGTCTTAAAGATTAACATATGTTTGCATTTGATTTCATATTATTCAAATTATAAAAAATAAATTTAAAAAGTATATACATAGTACGGTTTATTAATTTTTTTAAAATTATTACCTGATAAAATTTTGTTAAATTATCCATTTATGTTTATTTAATCTTTTTCGTGACATTAAAGATAATTTAATAGATACATTTGTCGACATTCAATGTTTTGAGACAGTTTATAATAAATATTGTCTTGAATGTCCAATATTAATTATTACTTTTTACATTGTATTATTAAAATAAAATAAAGAAAAAAAGATCAATACTGTGCATTTTATTAAATTTTAATCTTCAATACGAAGCCTAAAAATAAGGATTAATTATACAATATTGAATTTTTCAATTAAATTATAAAATATGTATTTATAGTAGTTACTCGAGTTTTCTTTATAATTTTTACTTGAAATATAATTGCTTATACTTTAAAATATGTTAATGGATATGAATTTAGTCTTGTAAAATTTATAAGACAAAAACATATAGTATTTTTTGTGTGAAATCTATTTAAACTTTTTAAATTTGAAGTTTTCGTTTTTATTGATGTTTAAAATGCTATTTACGTATTAGTTTTATAGTCGTGATTGCGTGTTAACTAGTGTATAAACGTAAACAATAGATTATTAATTATTGGTTTATTTTTAGACCGCAGTTTTTTGGTAGCCAATGCTCAGCAATCTGGCTGTAACATAATCTACTGCTCGGACGGTTTCTGTCGTATGACAGGATACAGCCGAGCTGAAGTGATGCAAAGTCCAGCAATTTGTGAGTTCCTTCAAGGACCGATGACATCACAGCAGGCCGTGGCAGTAGTCAAAGAGGCGTTGGCAGCCGGCATGGAGAGACACTTTGAAATTCTATACTACAGAAAAGACGGTATGATTTAGTTTAATATTGAGTATGAATTGGTTTTGTAATATTGTCATGAATGAACGGATGTATCGGCACCAAAGCTTTGCATGTAATAACATTCAAAGGATAATACTTTTGGAAAAATATTTTATTTCATAAAGCTGATACATGGCGTTTTCCAAGGACATGTGCAGTTAATATCCGTCGTTTAGTCCGAAAACAACTGACCGTTCATTCATAAATCTTCCAGTAATAGTCTGGAAAGCGAAAGTTTACTAGTATCGCCGTTCATTTCTATGAGAGTACCCAACCTCTTTTAAAAGCTATCGGTTGAATTGACATGAAATAAATGAGTGTCTATTAGGAAAAATAAATAAAGTTTAAATAAAACATACTGAAATTTCATTATTTTAGAGCAATAAGTCACACTCTCGACAACTCGCAGCATAAATAGATACTCTAGACGACTATAGTTAAGAATTTGTAAAAAAAAGTCTAAACATTTCACTATTTGTGATCAGATTATTTTTAATGTTTAATAATTCAGTAATACCATTGAGTAAAAAGTTGTTCATCTCAGAGTCTCAATGATTAATAGTTATTTGTAATGAAACCGTAGGCGTTTTGCAACCGTTTTTATTATGGCAGACCTAATAAAATTTTAACGATTCAGATATATATCTCATCGAGTTTGTCACGATGCGCAATAGTCTTTTTTTTTTGTTTGTTTGTTCGAAAACAATATTATCCACATGACTTGTCGTTATACAGAAATTTCTCTATCAAATTATTATAAAAGTTTCGGTATTTATGATAGCATAACCTACATTCCAGAACCAATCGACATATATCTAAAATATAAGTGTATATATAAATATATGAACATGGGTAACGTTGGTTATTGAATTGAAGCGGATTAGTTGGTCTAAAAGGTAGGTCAAAACCGTATATTGAAGGATGATAATTTTACCTTTTCAGTTCATATTTAAAATGGTTATTTTTTGTGTATAATTCGTGAACTATCTGAATATTTAGACAAAAATAAAAATTTATGACATTTTATAATTGCTATACTTTTACTTCAGTACTAATGGTAAAATTAATTAATCAAAAGTCGATGATAAATTCATTCTTCGAACTTAAATATTTCAATTGAAGAAGTGTATAAAATATTTCAAAAGTACAAAGAGTTTCCAATTTTATTGTAGCAGAAGTTAGTTCCGTGCTACTTGGTATTTTTTGTCAATCGTTAGTTCGATTTTGCAGAAGTAAAACAAAATTTTCAATAACAAAAGGAGAAGTTTTCGATATCTTTTACTGAGGAAGTGATAAGAAATTATTTACACTTTAAGTATAGAAGGGAAGTATTTTGAATTTGTACTTTTATACAGGATGTTCTGATAAATCCTATAACTTTTGATTCTTTAAAAAAAAGCATTATTAAAAATGTTGCTACTAAATTTTTGCTTAAAATCTAATCTACAAAATGTATATCTACTGATTTTTACAATCAGTAGATAGAATAGATTTATACAATTCTTATTAAAAAAGAAATGAATAATTATTATAATCTATATGATTATTGTAAAGCGTAAAATTTATTTTAAAATAAATTTAGCCCAAAATAAATAAGTTATAGGTTTGTCAAAATACATTAAACCACTCTGTATACAAGTACAAAACTATATAAAAGGAAGCACAACAAATGCAAAACACGCACTACAATATCATAATATTATAAAAAGTTTTGCGTTTATATTTAAATTTATTGTCGAAAATATATTTTTAACAAAATGATTAAAAGTCACTAGTGGCAATAAAAACATGGTTTTGCCATTTTTCATTATAACTTAAAAAAAACAAAGTTATCAACTAAACGAGTAAAAATAACAACTCTGACATGATATTTAAAAGGTCCGTTTGATTGACAAATATTGAAGTCAAACAGGTATTATTTGTGTTACACGGAAAATTATAACACTTCAAATGTATCTAATTAAAAATAATAATATTTTGTAATTAATTTTTATTAAAATATTAATTGAAAATAAACTTTGACTTTAACGCTCACATTTTTTCCAATAATTAATATTTTAAAGTTAAAAAACATTTGTGAGCTTTTATAGAAAATTTTATCAAATTAACACTAATTACGAACTATGAAATAATAAAACATGATATTCTTCGATAATTAAAAATGATAAAAATTGTATCTCATTTAATCAGAAGAATTTTTTTCAAGTTCCTCGAAATTGTTTAAAATTATAACTATTATACCGAAAATCTCAGCTGTAGAAAAAATTTCAGATGTCTTTACAACTTAATCGGACAACGTATAATTTTATTAGTTCTTTTACACACTTTGGGTTACCATCTTATCGAGTTGATTTATGATACATGGATTTAAGTAACGTTTGGGGAGTGCTAAAATACGAGTATGCTATAAAAACAAAGTTTGTGACAAATGTCAATAAAATGTTTATTATTTATTTTGCTTACACTTGCTATAACATCTAACAAAAACTAAAATGTTGAACCTAATCATGTTTACTAAAAAGATGTCACAAACATCAACTACTTACAAAAAAGGATTGAATTGGGTTCAGATGTAATCTCCGAACGTGTTAGTTTAGAAAAGGAAATTCATGAAATACCATCACTACGGAATTTTACCTGGCTAAATTATACCTAAGTTGACTACTGTGTAATTAGAAAATCAATAGAATGTATCGACACCTGCGACTTACACACTTTATGGTTCGTGTAGATTTTTTATTCGCGTCTTCGAAAACCGCGTACTCTTTAAACTACATGACATAATTTGTACGTGTGTGTATACTTAAATACAGTCAAATGTATGCGGTGTGAAGGCAATTTTGAGTCTGAAATACGACGCTTGTCGATGTAATCTCGTTTAAATCGAAGTTCAAGAAGAATATAGTGAATTATCTATTTTGTTGCGTTTGGTATATAAGCAGCAATAAAATTCCGGCGTTTATCAAATACTCATTACAGTGCTTTCCGTCGACTATTTTATTTTGTTCTTTGATATATTTTTGTACGTTTTAAGTTTATTGGAAAACCAAAACACTAGTATGTGAAATTAATTAAGATAGCATGGAATACAGTCGGTAAAAATAAAATTATGTTTACAATGAAAACAAAATTAATCAGTTGACAGCACGTGCTATTCGTGTGTATACAAATGTAAGGTTGACTAGATAAAAATCCGTTTTGAAATATTTAATCTACACTTTTGTTTAGGGAATACTAACAAAGTCGGAAGGGATCGACCGTTAATAGCTTCATGGATGTAACCTTTAACAAATTGTAAAATGTATGTATATGTATTTGATACGATTAAGGCGAGCAAAATCAAATCGACTCAATTTCCGATATCTTGTTTTAATGCGAAGCCTTAATTGTGTCTATATCCGAAAGTCGCATAAAGAGTTTTCGATTACTTTAATCTGTTAATGGAAATGATGTATTCACGTACTAGAAAAACGAAGAAAATATTATAGAAGAGTAATAGAAGCAATTATTTAATAAATTAAATTTCAATTGAACCACTCACTGAAGAAGAAATATTATAATCAAACTAGAAAAAAAGGAAAATGTTATATTATATAACAACACTTAGCGCACATAAATAAAAAAGTAAATATTTTAAAACTATATTAATTTACATTATTTATAAGTGTAAAATGAATTTTACACTCGAAGTGACTAATCTTGGAGATCAAAAAGAGAATGAGGGAATAATGCACTAAACTATTACTGTATTGCGATTGTGCTAAAAAACGAAATGATGTAGAATACTTCTGTAAAGTGGGCGGTTTTTCTTAAGCCAGAATATACAATTTGTATGGTTATTATGGCCGACAGTTTAAGTTACACCAATTCTTACTATACACGGGATTTGTTGGGATAAAATAGCATCGAGTCAACGGCCTCGTCTACATAATGACGTCACGAACGTCGTCACTGAGCTCAGTGACGTAATTGTTGACCTATTTCTCGGATAAGTCAAGGGAAAGATTATTTGACGAATGAGAGAGTGAAATGAAGCAAACGATGAGACCTCTCCAGATATGTCTACAACTATGTAGATGTAAAATTGCTTGCATCGGGACTAGCCTCAAGATGGTATATAAATAACTTCCTAGATTAGAGAATAAATATAATAATGTAATTTAACTTTCACTAAACAATTCACGTTTAAAACCCCATAGAGTTATCATCCACTGTTTTTTCAAAGACAACCACTTGCGTGTTCATAAATCGTGTAATTTTTTGGTAAATGACATTTCCCGTTTTTAAGAAAATAAAACTTGAAAAAGATGTACTTGGCGGTGTTTATTTTCGCGGTTGTATATTTTTGAATTACGTCAGTTCCCTAGGACCATAAATATGTTTGCACGATTTAATAATGTTTAACCACACCTTTTAAGTACCTAGCAAGGAATAAACAAACCTATAGAAAACCCTTTTCATTCGTTATTCTTCACATCCTATAATTATTTAGACAGCAAACACAGACATAACGAATTCATTGGGCAATGATATTTGCTATGTTACCATTATAACACAACGTATAATTTATCTAAAATCTTATCAATGATGTTAACGTACTTGAATACATTAATATTCTTAAGGGACAGTATTTTAGATATTACTCCATACATTGTTTACTATCAATTATAAAGACATTTCTTGACATTCAACATGAATAAAAATCTAGCTTAAAGTTGGTAAATAGTTTATTTAGATCATTTATTAGAGGTGTTTACTTATTGAAAATGTACATAATCCATAGTACATTTAGTACTATCGATATGTTACTATTATCAAAATATTCCAGTAATATAATTCTAAAAATATTTAATATAAGGCAACTATTGTTATAAAATCTAAATATTATTAAAAATATATTCGATTATTAGTATTATCAATAATTTAAAAAAAAATGATGTATATTTATAATGCTAATATATATTTTGAAGATATGGTAGAGACAACAA